CACCATGTGTATCCTCGGACGAGTTTCACCGCCATTGTAGAGGCTGCACCGATCACAAAAGAACCCATGTAGGAAGTTCAAATAACTTGTCATGACCCATAGTGGAAGGCAGTTCTGTACAGTTCCGGCTTGAAGTAGTCAGCTCTTTGCGCAATTGCAACAACTGAAGTCTCGTCCGAACAACTCTTCCGTGTGATGTCCGCCATGGTAATCTCGTCCAAGCTCCATTTTTACTTTTCTTAAGGGCCTTTTCTCGGAATTTGCGAACTTACCTGCTTTTTTTCACTACTGATGTACTATTCCCCACCTATACTTCCCTTTTTTCGACCAAAATGGGGTATCTCAAAATGATCGCGAACAAGGCCTTTCATCAGGAACCCTGCAAGCTGAGGAGTACAGAGCGAACTGTTGAGCGGTAGAATGGATCTCAGATGTCGAGCTGAGTCTAAATGACGGTCTGTCAGGGATGATCAATTTCGAAAAGTAGGGTGGGACTGTACAATCATGAGCTGATGTGTTTCGGAGAGCGATTTCTCCACTTAAATGCCAACAAAAAACGCTAGACGAGTGAAATCGTTCACATTTTCTCAAGAATTGAATCGGACCGGAGTTTTTCATACGAAGTTTCTTCCGTCATACAGGAATCAAGGACATTCCGATCTAATGGCTATAGTCGGGTTCGATTCCAACCCTGAAAAATACCCTCGAATTTCTCAAGGGTTTCTTCTGAAAATCACTTTGAATACAAACCAAAAATTTATATTCTGAGAATCTACTTTTTATTTTTTTGGTAACAGTCATCTCATACGATGTGATTCCGATTTTTCATAGCAAAAGTTGACAGCTAGTTAGTTCTGAGGCAAAGGGCCAGAGAAATTTATTTCGTCAATACCAACCACTTCTTCCATCACCTAACCTTTTTCTTTCTCGTTTATCATCCGTGAAAACGGAAATTGCGACATGGACACATACTCCATTTTATGATTCATTATTTGTAAAAGTATGCCGGAGTAGCATCTATCCGGAAGATTAAAATATGATATATCCTGAGGGGCTCTCATTTTGAATCTTCCATTCCTATTTCGACTACTTGATCTGAAAGAGAAAATTTTATAAGGGACAAAAAGGACAAAGTTTTTGGCGTTAATCGATCCCATCCGTGGAATGCGCCCCGCGTTGGACTTTCCATTCAGAATCGTAGTGGCGTAGTGGGTGCGTGCAGCGGTGGCAAGCTACCAGACGAGTCTGGTACCAATTACCCGACCCGGAGGGATGGTAGGTTTGGTTGGCCTGGGCGGACATCGATCCGGGATTTGAACCAGTGACCGTGGTGTGAAATAGTGCGCCACTTGCCCCTACACCACCTCCGCCTAGTTGATGGGAAAGGAAGAATTTAGTTTTCAATTTTTTTACTGTTTTTCAATTTTATACGGTATCAGTTAAATGAGGTTTTCGAAACGGTGAACGGGAAGCATGGGCGAGAGATTATCAGTACTATAGATGTTCAGTAACTGTAGATCGATTTAGGGAAGGAGCTATCAAGCAGCATTACAAAGTCAACGATGAGTTCGACTTGAGGATCAGGTGTTTCGATGATCAATTCCATGTGAGCTCACTTTTTTTCCAGTGATCTTTTTTTTCAACAACCTTTACTGGTGTTTCAGATTTACGTCGAACATCGTTTGGTGGCAAAATTCGCCCACTACGTCCCGATGAACAACATTTCCCATGTCTATGTGAACGGTGATGTAATGCTGTATGGAGTTTCATGGGAAGGAAAATTCTACGTGAGCTTTTACTTAAATTTTATTATCACTGGATGCCCAATACCTGTGTTTACCCATTCGGATTCACCTACTAATTCAGAACCCAAAATCTCTAACAAATATCTGTGATCAAGCGGTAGCAATTAGCTTCGTTGGAAGTTCCAGGTTTCCTCAGAACCTAATGAAACGTTGCATTTACTGATAAGGAGACCGAATTGCGACAAAACTTCGGTCTCGGGCGGGGCTAGAACCCGTACCTGTGCCTTTCGGGCGCCATGCTTTGGGACAGGGGCAAATAAGTGGGGCAGTAGAACAGCCTATGGCCCTAGTTTTGGGCCAGACAAATCAAAAATTCATTCTCAAGGCTCCATAGTGTTGATGTAATGCCTGTCTTGAAGGATAGCATAGCAAGTGAACGTAGTCACCAGCTTTTCTCAGAGGTACAATGACGGAAACCCAGATCGGCTTTCACGGTAACCTGACTGTGCATCCTGGTTCGAACGCCTGGTTGCGATGCAGGCAAGAGTTCATAGTGTTCATCCTCAAGATTTTTTTCATATATATATGTAGAGTTGCGCTTTCTCCACAATGAGGTCCCCGTAAAGGCCGATACCTATTCTGAATCCCTTTGTGAGTATAATGTGAAGCTGACACGTGCTCGATTGTCAGTGGTGGTGTTAGAACTTTCTTCAATGACTTGGTTTCATGTTGTACATTGAACACACGGATTCTCATTTGATCACCCTTTTGGATTTTTCGCTGCCCACTGACCAGAACCAGTGGGAGACTACGGCGCAATATCGAATAAGAAGCGTCCGCTTGAGAAATGACTTTTAGCTGGCAAAAAGTTGTAACATATTGGTCAATATTTGCTTTTGCTTTTTTCCTTTCTAATTTTTGCACCTATCTTTTCTTTTCTGGACCATCGTTGTAAAAAAGTGATGGTGATGGATCAGGAAGCGACACGTTGCTCGCATAAACATGCATCTTTTCTGAAAAGCTTTTTACCATAGTTGTGGGGGATATGAGTAGTACCAGTAGTTCGTTCTGTTGCCAGAAAAAGAGGATATGAACTGACTGAACCACAATAGATGAGAAGCAGCACCATCCTGATAAACCGTGGTATTAATTTCAGAGTGTCCCGTATGCCGCCGACATACCAGGCAATTTCTATTCGGGACGTCGACTATTTGTGTCTGGCTTGGTGCCAAAAGGAGCTAAACAGTTTACGATTGATTTTTATGCCAATGCTGAACTAGCGTGCAGAATTAAAGCCGTATTTCCTACGAAGGTGGGTGGAACGGGAACGGCCGGCACAGACTTTCTAGTTGTGATTCTGGTCCGGTTCCTATGCGCAGCAATTCGTGGTGATACGTCGTCGAAACGTTGTTTCTACCAGTTGTGGTTTCAGAAAGTACTTCGCACGTCTCGGTTGAATGATCGATGGGGACCCGAGGAACGACTTGGCGTCGATCAAGAATTCCCCTTCAAGAGGAAACAAACCTTCGATTTACTTATTTACTGCAGTGAAAATAAGTTTGAGGTTTGTCATTTTTTATGAGAAATTCTGAAGATCGAAAAGCTTGATGATGGATTACCGTCGTTGGTCACGGGCTGTGTAACCATTTCATATACTCGAGCCATCCGTCAATTTCCTATTTCATTACGGTACGGTAATTATGGATTCAGTGTAACACAGGAAACGGGTGGAACGCTTCTTCCCCATATTCACACCTTTTCAATATATGCAGGAAAATTGAATAATTGATATTCAGGGTTTTTTGATCAGAGTAACAAGTTTACAGATGGTTGAAATTGATTACCCGAAGCAATCGGCCATACATTCCCGTTTGTAAGGGCCGAGGAAGGTGGCGGGGTAGGAGCGCTATAACACATATCCTCATATCCTTGTAGATTCAATTGAGGCAATGTAACGTTTGACCGGAAGAGTAAGGATAGGGACTTCAACAAACTCCTAACGACGGATCATTTTGCACATCAAATTTGTTTCAAAAACCAGTCGCAGGAGTTGGATGCACGACGCAGTCAGAGGCGAGAATGGGTGCATTCAGACTTCATCGCCGTCATTGTTTCGACCGACCAATCGACCGACAGGTTCCTGGCCACAGTTGACAACCTTGGACGCTAATGAATCACGGACTTTCTCTGCGTCCCTGACAGCAAGACGCTAGAGCGAAGGGAAAAACACCCCGGGTGAAGCCTACTGGGGTGGTAGTGGGAGTCCCATAGGACAGACAAGCACAGCACTCAAAGATTACATCAAACGGGAGTGCGACAGGCGAGGGCAGGGAAATGACGCATCCGTCAAATTTGAATAAACCTAGTTCAAGTAGTCCGTAGACCCATTCTATCCAGCGTTGTCAGCACGTGACCAGGAACTCCGTCGGTCGTTCGGTCTGTGGAAACAATGCACGTCGGTGGAGTCTGAATGCAGCTAGTTCAAGCCACAACACTAGGACTTTGTCCCTTCATTTAGACATATACTGAAACTCTAAATAGCGCTCAAATGCTGTAAATTGTTTACTTTCAAAAATCATTCTACTTTTTCAGATGCTTGTCAACGACTGTCCGTTTGCATCGTTCGATCATCGCATTCCCGCTAATCAAATCAATAAGTTGTCAATTGAAGGGGACATCAGTCTCCTCGGTGTCCATCTCAAGTGAATAACATTCCATGCGGACCAAAAGCAAACATGTTTAATTCATGCAAGGAGACCATGAAAATGGGCTTATGGTTAGCCCCTCATAGCCAACTATAAAGCCTATTGATCTGCATCATACCACTTCTAATCTCATTTTGTAGATAGATTTCCATTGATGAATACTGTACCTAAGGTGCTGATTTATAACGGTCATATGTAAAATTCCAATTGATCCTTATTTTGTACACATGTTCTCCAATCAATGTGTTATAAAAATTCAACATAACGTATAAATAACCTGCGCCGCGCAAGGACTAAAGCCCAGGTTGCATCACGTCATATTGAGGTGAGGAGATTCTGAAGGTTCTTGGTCCATTGACGAAGTTAAACTTTTTGAGCACTCAAAATAGTTTATTGGAAAAAAAGGTCAGTGCAAAAAGTGGTACCTAAACTCGTAAATTCTGAAAAATACCTAGTAAAGGAGACGGATTCTTCATTTTCTTCATACGGCTCAATCGATATGCGATCCTTATTTTAGGCATGATTTTAATATTAGCCCCTTTGTTCCTGTGCTTCTTACCCGCTGCCGCATTCGCTTATATTCTTTCGCGCGCGGCGTCCCTTTTGCCGCGACGCGACAATTTCGTTCCTACTGCACCATACCCCCTAGTAGGTAGAGGTCGTGGAAATGGGCTCATACCATCTGGGTACCATACCCTTAATCATCCCCAGAGAACTACATACGGTCCCTCATCAAGGAACTTTCTTAACATTCAAAAATAGAGTCTAACCGAAACCAAACTGTATAGATATTTCTAGTTGCACCTCTGTCTCTAATCCTCTTCTATTTACATCAGAACAGGATCAGGATGAAAGGCCAAGTAAAGCGCAGTCAGCTCCATTTCATTAGCAAGTAAGCTTTCTCAAAGACACATCAGGGAATAACATCAGGGCGGATTGTGAAGATTGGGGTTGAAGAGAGTGGCTGCTCGATTTCATGAATTGCCATTTGGCCACGATGTCGGGACCTTCACATTATTCTTGAGGAGGTAGGCTCCGATAAATGATTGACTTCAGTCTCCCACAACAATTCTGGATGAGGATGGAACAATCATATTAAGATATAAGAATGAATGAAAGATTGGGCTAACTCTAACTCCCCTGTCTTTTCTACTTCGTATAGATACAATAGCTAGTCAGCAGCTGAAGCATGAGAAGCAAATGTTAGATGACTTTGTAATTTTTTTTGGTGCCACTCAAATTCCGCAAGGACGTCTAATTTTCAACCATTTGGATAAAATAAGTCAATTGGTGTTGGTATGAGTTCTTTCGAGGTGTGCATTAGTGGATAGCCTTGAACGGCAATCACACAATGGTGCCACTTCCTAATTCCATTTTCCCTTGGTATTTCTGACAAGATCATCACATCTCATAGGACAAAACTTTCTGATCATAGCCCCTAAGAAGCCGATTACGTACAATTTTATTGAGAAATACTCTTTCGTTGTAAACACATAATCGTATGATTTTTATGGATTCGTCATGATTTCGTGGATACCACAGCATTTAAACTGATCCTTGAGCTCTGGTTTCATCCAATAATGCCTCCTGTATATGGCACTGCAATGGAAGAAATAAATTCGAAAGTCTTTTTTGTAAGGGAAGTTACAAAGTTTTATACTTAGGTAAACTTACAGACGCAGTCCACGCTACTCTGAGGGAATCGAGTGAACACATTGACACGAGCGTATTCACAGCCCCAGAATTGTGAATCACGGGAGTCTAGACCGCAAACTTCCTTGAACTGATCTTCGAAACACGATAAATAAGTATTGGCCATGCTAAATTATATCGACAAAAAAATTGTCAAAATCGTACATTCGTACACTTTTACACATGGTGCGGGAGTGTCCTGGGTAACGGAACTTCTCCCCGATCGCGGCATTCTCCCTTGCGGCATGCGGCAAATGTCACTGCAATTACCGCACTCACCCCGCCTCCCCTCCAATCGATAGGACGCGATATTTTTCGTTGATTGGCTTGCTTTTTCATTGGATTTGATCGTTTTTTCTTCTAATTCTTTTTCGTTTTCATGATTATTAGACTAGATTANGTGTGCGACGCCGTGTTAAGGGAGAAGTTCCCGGACCCGGAGTGGCCTACAGCGCTAAAGTCCCTAACTACCCTCTCGCTCTTCTCTCACTGCTTTGTTGGAAAAAGATCATTGCGGACTCCTCGAATAATATTCACAAGGATCTCTTGAATTACCATCAAAATCACTGACTAATTAACAGCTTGAACTTCATTCGGGTTTGCATCGCTGCCTTTTTCGAATTTATACCGACAGGCGTTCAATTGATCTCCAGTGGTACCACTCCAAGCCTTCGACATGCAATCGTCATTATTCATATAAACTGAAATATATCGTAATATTAGTCTGATGGCCTTATACAGAATGGTATTCGTATCATAATAATGTCAAGTACCTAAACTTACTCTGAAATCCTCCTCCACACACGTAGTGCATTTGATTGAAAATGCTGACGAACTGATAGGATTCGAAAATTGGAACTGAAGCAGTTACAAAGTAGCCAGCATTAATGCACTGTGAGTATTCTGGTCCCATGCATCCCTTGAACTGTCGGAATGCCCTAAACNTAGTGCATTTGATTGAAAATGCTGACGAACTGGTAGGATTCGAAAATTGGAACTGAAGCAGTGACAAAATAGCCAGCATTAATGCACTGTGAGTATTCTGGTCCCATGCATCCCTTGAACTGTCGGAATGCCCTAAACGAGTCTCTCTTCCCTCATGGTTTCCAAATTATGGCGGCTACGGGAAGTACTGCTCGTAGTTTCCCCCTACACACAACAAGGCTCTCAATGAAAGGATTGCCACGCCTCGGTGAGCAGAGTTTACTTGACTACATTCTCCGAACGAATAGTCATTTACGTTATCGTAGCGTTTTTCAGTCTTATATTCTTTCAGTCCAATATATACATACAAACCGTGGAGTCGAATATTCTCGGCCCTCCTTAAAACGCTCCCATATAAGCTACTAACTTCTCGAGCCGTTTTTGTTAGAGTTTTGTCCGTATGACTGGTTTAAATCATGATAGAACCTAAGATAGCCTGCACTTAAAGGCACAGTTCACGATAATCTTGGGTAATCCAGATTATGATGAA